AGTTTACATGAAAGTACCAGAAGGTGTTCAAGCTCCTAGCCCACATTATGTCTGCAAACTCACAAAGTCTCTGTATGGTCTCAAGCAGGCCAGCATGCAATGGAATGCCAAGCTAACCACTGAACTCAAAGCATTAGGATACTCTCAATCTTCTGGAGATCATTCCCTCTTTGTCAAGACCAAAGGTGAGTCTTCACAGCACTTCTTGTTTACGTAGATGACATGGTTCTAGCTGGCAATGATATAGATGAAATTAAATCTGTTAAGCATCATCTGGATAATCTGTTCTGTATAAAAGATCTCGGACCTTTAAGATTCTTTCTTGGCCTTGAAGTGGCAAGATCCAGCAAGGGATTAGTGCTTAATCAGCGGAAGTATGCATTGGAGCTTCTCACCTACAGTGGTTTGCTTGGAGCAAAACCAGCATCCACTCCAATGGATCCTCATATTAGACTCAAGAAATATGATGGAAAACCTTGTTCTGATCTTGCTAGCTATCGTAGGTTGGTGGGCCGCTTGTTGTACTTGACAAATACACGGTCATATATATCATTTGCTGTCCAGCAATTAAGCCAGTATGTTGCCAACCCCATGGACGTCCATTTTAATGCAGCATGTAGAGTCCTTCGTTACCTGAAAGGTGCCCAACCAAAGGTTTGTTTTTTCCGTCACACAACCAGTTGTCTCTTCGTGCCTTCACCGATGCTGACTAGGAAACGTGTCCTGAACGCGACGTTCAACTACTGGATTTTGTGTATTCTTGGGATCATCTTTGATTTCATGGAAATCAAAGAAACAAAGTACAATTAGTAGATCCTCCGCTGATGTTGAATATAGAGCCTTAGCTACCTTAACATGTGAGATACAATGGCTTGCCTATTTACTGCAGGATCTATGCCTTCCTCTTCTCAATCCAGTTATGATCTATTGTGACAACCAAGCTGCCATTCACTTGGCTCACAATCCATCATTTCACTAGCGCAGTAAGCACATCGAGCTTGACTGCCATCTCATGCGCGAAAAAATTGCAGTTGGACTAATTCATCTTTTACCTATCTCAACAACTCAGCAATTGGCAGATCCCTTTACAAAAGCTTTACATCTTGCTCCATTTCACGATTTCTTGGATAAGTTGGGACTGCATGATATTCACCTCCCAACTTGAGAGAGGGGGTGTTGGGATACATCAAGCCCATTAGTTTAATTATTGGGCCATTTGGCCTATGACCTTATTGTAATCATTTGTTTAGCGCGTAGGTATTTATATGTAAACAGATAACTAACTTTCATTATTCAATTCAATCACTGTTTACATTAAATGCTTAACTCTTCTTCTTCCTCTTATCGCAAGACCATACAAGTTACCTTTTTTAAAATTCTAACATTAAAAAAGCTTGCACAGACAAATTACTGTGAGTTTTTTATTTTTTATTTATATGTCTGAAACTCTAACGCGACTAATTAAATACTGTGACTTTCAAGAATCAAATTCACCACCCTTTTATTTAAAATAAATTGATTTAGTTTGTATTTCATATTAATTTGATTTTGCATATATAGGGTCACGGGCGATCAGTTGTCTCCTATAAACTAAAAACTACATTGCATTGAAAAAACTCAGGACATTTAAAGAAAATAAATTATTATAAGAGAGGAATAAATTTAAAAAAATGCTCTGTATTCTTTAAGAAATAATTTTATGTCGTATGACAAGAGAAACAGTTATATATATATATATATATATATATATATATATATATATATATATATAGCTTATATAATAAAAAAATATAAAATACCATTTTCTGGATATGTACCGAACATATACATCTAGTGCTAATATATGCTCATGCATTTCGACGAGTACCAGAAAATTGTTAGGCATGCTTATCAGGTATAATTTTATGTTAAATCGATCAAAACAGTGTAAGATTGTTATATAATGACAAAACAACGCACGTAGAAGGAGGTGATCAAATATAAGCTATAGAATAAGACGTTAAAATCACGTCAACTAATGAAATGAAAAAAAAAATTAACTCGCTTTATTTTTGTGTCCTTATTTTTTCTGGTTAATACTAACAAAGCGTCTTATTTCGGTCTAACATTTAAGTTGCTAAATACAGAATCCTGTTAGCTCTTTTATGCACAGTAAAACGCTAGCAATGGACACAATGCCTGGCTAAAGAGGATGCCTTGCCTACCTCCAAAGAAGAAAAAGAAGAGCGACAGAAGATGCCTTGCCAGCTTTCTTTTGCAACAATCATGTGGATATGCTCAAAAGGACCACAATCTCAAAAGAAAATGAGCAAATATGTATGTTTTTAATTTTGGCCAATCTTACACCTTAAATGTCCTATTAATAATGACTCAATTAATAATAATAATAATAATAATAATAATAAACTACCTTAACTAAAATTTTTGTTAAAATTCCTTATTATATGTAAGTATTTCCCCAAGTGTTTGTTAAGCACAAAAGCCTGAGTGTGAGGACACTGGACACGGAAAATCAGAAACCCCTTCTTTGTATTTAACAAAAGCAATTATTCTTCCATCTCAAATCTTACATTCCACATATAAAGAGTTAATTATGGGCTCTAGCCCCCCTCATGTACCAAAAAAGAGAGAGAGTTAATTATCAATAAGCCACTAAGTTTGATATAGTGGTTAGGGATCTAAGTAAGTTGTATTAAGTTATGTATTCAATTCTCACTTATATTTAAAAAAAGAGAGAGAGTTAATTATCAGTTAGTAATGATCGATAATGGTTAGTAATCTAGTAATAGTTAAACCTGAGTTAAAATTTTATCCACCAAAAAATAATAATAGTACATATCAGTTAGTAATATTAATTAAACAAACTAGTGTACTAACGGATACTCATTATCACGCAATCCAGAGGAAGTCACACTCAGGCTTGGCCTCTCAAGGACAGAAGACAACCTTGAGCTGAGGTGGGGAGGAACACTCGTGTATAATTAAAGCACCGATTCATAACAATAATTTAATAAGCAATGACCCATGACAACAGCCCAAAAAACAAATTTAAGCTATGTACGACTCACGGTTACGATTGGGCTATATTTCGTGTCAGAACACTAAACGTTGGCCATATACTTTCAGGTTCAGCTCCAAGACTTTGGGCTTATACTGCGTTTGAAATGGAACTTAGAGACCTATCCAACAAGGGGCTGAACATACTTAATAGGAGATTGGATATCCACCAATTAAGTTTATTATTTTTTATCATAAAATTTTAGTCGTTATTTTTTATTAATTTGACGGGTTATAATTTATTAATAATTATTTAATAAATGTCATATAATAAATTATAACCGTCATATTGACAGAAATCAACAGCTAAGATTTGTTGGTAAAAAATAGTAAACTTAATTAGTGGTAAGTAGATTCGTTCCCATCCAACAATGAGCTTATGCTCCCCATTCAATTTGTTAGTAGTCCTTAGTTATGGATAAAGCAAGATAAAACTATTAAACGGTGGTAGCTCAGTTGGAAACGGTAGTCCTTAGTAAAGGAGCTGAGTAAATGATTACAAAAAAAAAAAGGAGCTGAGTAAGTGGAAAGGAAAGAACATCGGTTCAATTTTCATATGTCACATTTAGAAGGGATTTAAATATCTTTATCCTTATCCGCCAGAACTTCGGATTTTGTAGAATATTTATGGAAACATGTGTTTTCTGTATTTTTTTTATTTTAAAAATTAAAATTCAAAACACAAATTAAAAATAACTCAAACATGTTTTCTAAATTTGATGTTAAAAATAAAAAAAAGTTATAATTTTTAATTCTATTTTTACAAAATAAGCCTTGTCAAATGAATTTTTTTTATTTTTTTTCTTAAAATTAAAAAACTATTTTAGAAACAGTATTCAAAAGCATGCCATAGATTTTGATAAAATTCTTTTACCTGATACAAATACCTGGGAATAGACTTCAACCCTGTTTTAACATGATTTTCTTTTCATGTTCTTTTATGTTTATACTCCAATTAAACTAGGCCAATCCAACATTTTGTTTTTCATATATTTTTGGTCAATCAAAATAATTCTCGTAATTATTTATGTTTACGGAATTTATTTAATTTTATACATAAAAAAGGACTAAAACACAGACCATCTAATACAATCACACTCACTTCACCATTAGGCTGACTTATGTTTACGGAATTGTTAAAGTTTAAGAGTGATTATATGTATGATGTTGCTTAAAAATATATACAAGTCAAATTGTATGTGAAATAACATCACATTAGCTTGAATTGGAAACCGTGTTTATATGTATGTGGGTGTCTTTAATAACATCGTCATCACTAGTTATCAAACCAATTGTGAGAATTATCTTGAGTGAAGATGAATTAATGATTAATGGACTATTAGTATTATATAAAAATAATTAGTTAGAAGTATGATTTCATCCTCTAACTTTTTTAATTATCAAATCAATCCCTTCCTTGTATCTAAGAATATGATCCAACCACTACCACCCAACAACTCTTTCCAATTCCAAGTTCTATCTAGACCTTTCAACTTCGTCCCTCTTCTGCACCTATCTTCTCTCACTTCAATTCCCAAAGCAAAGCCCTCACACCTACCAGCTTTTTTTTCCCCTCCCCAATGACTTGTATGCCATTCCTCCCTCTCTCTTTCATTCCCGAGATGTAAGACAATTATGGCTTAGAAAAGAGAGAGAAATCAACGTTAATCTTAATCACTATATATGCATCAAATCCAAAAGAAAACAGAGCCATTTATATATGTACAATTATTGTTTTTCTCGTAAAAAATAAAATAAAATGCATGCCTTGGAATGAGGATGAAGGAACTTACACCTGATCTCTCTAAGCCGCTAAATGCCATGTTTTCAGAGATGTTCTGCACCAAAAACAATACGCATGTAGCATGTTAATCTTCTCTCTCAACCATTTTGTTTTGACTCTATAAAATGAGTGCCGCGCGCATGCAGAAGGGGTAGTAAAAATGGAGAGTCACAATGCAGAGGTAGCGATGGGAATGGGAGGGTCAAGTGGTACTCACTCATGTTCACGATGGAGTCCTACAAAGGAGCAAATAAGCATATTAGAGAATATATATAAGCAGGGCATAAGGACACCCACAGCAGAGCAAATACAACAGATTACCACTAGGCTCAGTGTGTATGGTCACATCGAAGGAAAGAATGTCTTCTACTGGTTTCAGAATCATAAAGCGAGGCAAAGACAAAAGCAGAAGCAAGAAAGCATTGCATATTTCAATCGCTTTATTCATAACTCACATTCACAGCCCATTTTCTCTTCGCCAATTTGCCAAAATGGTTGGTTCCCTATAATGTTATTTCATTCATATTTATTTGTCTTACATATGTATATATACTATTACCATTTTATTATGTATTTGACTAAAATGGATTCACATAAAAGTTCATCAATGTCATTGTGGTTTGCTTCAGAATTTCTGTGATTTTTTGTTTATCACATATACTCTTATAGTTTGTAAAAGGTAAAAAATCACGTGACATATATGATAAAAACATACTCTTTTGTAAATTACAAAGACATAAATAATAAAAAAAAATCACAAAAACATAGATAATTCTGGACTAAACTACGATGTACATATTAGTGAACTTTTCCCTTATATTAACTATTCCGCCTCTTCATGCAAATGTACTAGGTAGAGTTATGTACATGTGTTTTCAGTGAGCCCAAAATTTACCTAAAGTGTCTCTCTAGTTTCTTTACCTTTCACAATTATATTAAGCGTCTTTTTTATTGGTGAAAATATTAAGCGTCTTTAATTAATTTTATTTTTTGTTTTTCAGTCGTCTATGCCCCATATTGCTTACAACAGAGTGAAATGAGCTTTTATCCTCAACAACCAAATGTGCTTGTAGCCGGAGGTAATGATCCAAGGACTGAGAAAGTTGTGCCCATGGGGATGCCAAAAATCTGTTATGGCCCGCAGATATACGAACAATTGCAACAGAGAATCCCTGATTACAACTTCAGCAACAGTAACCAAGAAACGTTGACTCTCTTTCCTCTTCACCCAACCGGCATTTTGGAAAGTAAAACAACAGACAAAGTGCCTTATGTTGCTTCAATTGCTGCTGATAGTTCCACTGATATAGATGAAGATGGTCGTCCCGGAAACCAATTGTTCGTTGATTTTTTTACCTCTGTTCAAGGGTCTCGAGAGAGTGATTAGTGATTAGATATTATTAGCCAAAACAACTTCCCTGCAATTTTGAGTAGCACATTGTTTACCTCCGAGGTGGGTTTTATCTCTGATATTGAGTTTATCGTAGCTAGATTTGGTGTTGTTTTTAATCATTATATAATGATATGTGTTCACCAAAAGAAAATAATTGACACGTTTGACAAAAAATTTAAGAGATATTTTCATTCATGTGATGTGATAGTAAGCGTATTCGATGTTAAGAATTATAACCAAATTAATTGGAAGCTTTCGTTGGGCAGTTCATTGTTTTTGTTGATGTATTTAGTTTTGTTTGTATATTGAAGTATGTAATATCTTTTACATACAATGATAACTACTAAAACAATTTCAATTAGATTTTGTTTAACTAATTATAATTTAAGATAATGTAAACATTTATTAAAAACATATAATTTAAAACCTAATTTTAATTGATGTTTAGTGTTGTTTTCGGTCGTACGAGTAATAAAGTAAATGAGTAGAGTTTTCCACGAGGATTAATCTATCAAGCAATAATTTTTCTACACGATCAAAGTTAGATCGAGTTATTTGGAATATGATTCAAATATAAAAAATGCAAACTAAACTACCAAACTAAATATTAAGATCAAGAATCAAGAACGGTATGAAATGAAGAATGCAAAGTGTAGTTAGGGTGTTGATTTTCCCAATGTCTTCCTACCGAATCTATCATTTTCTATAACTACTAAAATTTATTAAAAATAGAGAATTAAAATCTCATTTTAATTGATGTTTTAGTGTTGTTCTAGACGGGCCTCCGGACCATCTTGAACAGGTAGGTAGCTAGGGATGTAAATAGATTGGGACGGGTTAGGCCTATCTTAGATCGATAAATAGATTGGGTCGAATTAGACTTTGATTTAAAAAGGCTAGGCTTATGTAAAATATTTTGGGTCTAGCCTAGTCTATTAGTCTTGTATAGGTCCAAATTATAAGTTTAGTCTTGCCTATATTTTTTTTTTAAAAAAAACTTTGGCATATATCTTTTAGTCTGTTTAAGCTTATTACGCATTCAATAATTAAAATAATATTACTTTATTATTCAAAATCATTGAAATAATAATTTATTTATTTGATTTAAAATGAATAATATAATATAGGCTGGTCTATAGGCTAGACATGTAAAAGAAATTATATGATATGCTTTTTAAATAGGCTTTTTTTATACCTGAACCTGTTTTATCTGATTATATGTAATAGGATAAATCTGGCCTAATATAGGCCGAGGCGTAGACCTTCATTAGACAATCTAACTTATTTACACTTCTACTAGTAGGTAATTTTATACATTCAAGAGATAAGAAAATGAAAGGGAAACAATATTTTATTTGCTACTTCGAATAGTTAATAATTATCAAGTGAACTTGCATATAAATGAAGATTGTGTTGCGCTTTTGATTTGGTTAAGTTACTTTAAACTTTGCTTGTGTCCGCGAAGCCTAATTGCCGATCCAAAATGTTTTAACCAAAAAGAAAAAAGAAAAGAAGAGGAACCGGTGATTGTATGGCCAAGGTGGAAACAATGATCAAAATGCCACTATTCATTAAGTTTTTCACCCAAATATCACGCGAACAGTGTTATTTTTCAATATGCCACACGCGCAAGTTAACTACAATTAGGGGTGTAAATGGGCTGGGCTGAGCTGGGTTTTGGCCTTCCTAGCCCAAGCCTACGTAAAGGCCTATCAAATACTTTATTTGTAGGCCAAGCCCGGCCTATTTTTACAAATAAAAAAGCCCGACATGGCCTACAGGCCTTGTAGGCCTACCACTATAGATACTAAGCAAAGAAAATAATTGTATAGAGCAAAGAAAGTTTCATTCATGAATGCACTAGTACTTCTCATAAGAAAAAAATAACAAACAAGAAAGAGTCAACATAATACCCCAGCTTTAGAATGTATATCATAGAGGAATAGAGTCAAAAAAATGGGGAAAATAAGAACAATACAATTATTGGGTGCTGAAATAAAGTTTACAAGAGAATGTCATTCATCTAAAAATTAGGGTTGGTATTGGTACTTTGCCATGCCACATAAAATAAGTATTATTTGGGGCTTCGCCCTTAATGTTATCAAAAAAAAAAAAAAAAGTATTATTTTATTATTAATAAATTAAATAGGCTAGCCTACAAGGCTTTGGGCCAGGCTTGACAAAATTGGCCTACGGCCTATTTGTTAAAAAAGCTTTCTTAAAAGCCTAAGCCTACTATACTTTTTTGAAAGGCCGGGCCAAGCCAGCTGTAGGCTGGGCTGGGTCAGCCTGACTCATTTACACCCCTAGCTACAGTGCCCAACGAACTTGGTAGCCAATGATTTCGTTACATGTGGCACATTTTCGAAGAAAAAATTGACTGTTACGTGTCCAAGTTCGCTACGACTGGTAGCAAACTTGGTAGCCAATGATTTCATGACACGTGGCACACTTTTGCAGGAAAAGATGATTGGACGAAGTTCACTACCAGGGATAGCGAACTTGGTGTGCTATGTGGCACAATCTCGTTGCCCGATCAGAATTAATGTTCCAATCACAATAAAAAAACAGAAAACGAAGGAAAATGACAATTAATTGTAATTAATGTATTAATCACAATTAAATAATGTATCCATGCTTTGTGATCTACCCCACATTCCATAAACATTAAAAAACCACATTACGTAATTACTAATTAGTCAATACAAATTAATTAAATTAAGAAGAACTGTTCTCTCCAAATTTTATTAATAATCAATCTCTCTCAAAAAAAAAAAAATCTTCTTAATTATGCACATCTTTTCGAGAACTCATTGCAAATCAATCTAAATTAAATTCTCCGAAAAGGGAAAAAAAAAAGTTGATAAGTAATTACAATCCAATCCACAAAAAACATTTGAAAAAGGAAGAAAGAAATTTTTTCTAAAAATAATGATAGTTGATTGCAAATCAATACCTAAAATAAGGAAATAATTAAAATTAAATTAACCATACTAATTAATAGAAAGATTTTTGGAAAAAAAATTCAAACAAAATTTGTTCCAAATTTTAGCCCCTGATTTGCATAATTTCAGCCCTATTCAAAATGATTTCTCATACAGTCCTTAAGTTATGCAATACGATCGACCGGTGCATGGTTTGCCGATATGACATTGTTTAAATTTTTCTTTTTATAACTTTTATTTTTTTTCCTTTTAAGACTGAAAGCTCTTTACTATTTATTTATTTTTTGTATATATATTTTTTTTCAAAAATTAAAGAACAATAATTCTCGATCAGAAAATTACTCTTGTTAATTTTTTACTTTAAAAAAAAAGGTACATGGAAAACCTTTTGGAAGATGAAATAAAGGCTTCTAAAATAATTAAAGGCTTCTGCTGTTAAGGAAATAAATAAAACTAAATTAAACATAATAATAAAAAAATATTTATAAATGAAAAATTAACAGCCAATCAAACTTAAAATATATCCCAAATCTCAACCTGATGTGTGATGATTTGTATCATTCTGGTCCTTTTGAGAATGATTTACCCTTAAATACTGAAGTTGTGCTATATGCTCGTATGCTCAAAAGTTACAATGTTCATTTTTCAAAAAAAAAAAAAAACTACAATGTTCCGAAAAGGTCTGAGTGATTTCTCTCTGTGACATTTTTTTTTATGACTTTTTTTAACTTGAACCTCTTTATTTTTTTTAAATTTTTATTTAAATTTTATTTCCAAATTTTCTTAAATAACATTTTGAGATTGGGTAGCAAGTAATTAATGTTGATTTTTTTTTTTAAAAAAAAGAACCACCTTAAATCTTATTTTTGATTTAGATGATGTGAATCCTTCTTAATTACAAAATTCACGAAAAATAAACATTCTTGCTTAATACAAATCAATCAACAAAAAAGAAAAATAATAAAAAATATTACAAATCAATCAATAACAAATATACTGAAATAATGAAGGAACTGAAATCAAATTAATTTTGATTTTTAAAGAAAATATTTACAAACAGAAACTTGACGTATCAAATCTGAGCCCCGATGTGCCCTGAATTGTATTACATGTCATGAGTCATGAACTTGTAAGACTTTCCTCTTAATTTAAAGAAGAATGTCCAATAACTAGGTCTCTGTTTAGGAGCTAAACTAGAGTAATATCTTTAGGATTTGAATTTCATAAAATGAAAGGACACGCCTCTACCGGAAGGCGCATGATCCATAATCTCGTGTTTTCGATTTTAGCTTTAGATATTGTTTGTCCTACATCAGTTTTTTTCCTTAATAAATGCGGAAATTTGGATTGCTTTCAATCACTACCGAAAAGTTTGGGACTTCATTTTTCTTTTGTATTATTTAATAGTATAGCTTGATAGGATGATGTGAAGTTACCCTAGCAATGTCTTTGGGTAGGTTAAGTACTGCTCTGAGACTTGTCTTTGGGTGTTTTGTGTTGGTTCTAGTTGCACAACTTTACTATTTCTTATGGTGTAATATGAGATGATCCACTCTCAAATGAAATATTCTTTTTGCACAAAACTTGCACGGATATAACATGAAAAGAAAATATTTTTAAAAGAAAATTGGATAATTTTCCTAAATATAAAAATAATTAATTATAAATTCATTAACATTAAAGACATTTAAATTAAAAAAATAAATAAAATTAAATCAATCATTATAATTAAAAAATTTATAAATGAAAAATTAATTGTCAATCAAATTTAAAATATATCTCGAATCTTAACCTGACTGATGATTTGTATCTTTCTCATCTTTTTGAAAATGATTTGCACTTAAATTCTGAAATTGTGCCATATCCTCACATCACATGTTCCTAAAAAGTCTGAGTGATTTCTCAGTGGGGCATTGTTTTTTTTTTTTTTCATTTTTTTAACTTGAATCTCTTTATTTTTTTATGAATTTTTATTTAAAGTTCATTTCTAAAAAAATTTAAAACACTTTTAGATTGGGTAGCAAATAATTATAATGTTCATTTTTTTTTTTTGAAAAAAGAAAGAATCACCTTGATTCCTTTGAATCTTGTTCTTGATATTAGATGATGAGAATCTTCCTACAAAAAAACACTCCTAAAAGGGAAAAAAGAAAAAAGAAATCTAAAAATAATGACTTATTACAAAAAATAAGAAAAATTGGAAAAAAATAATTTATTACAAATCAATCAATAACAAATATACCGAAACAATGAAGGAATTGAAATCAAATTAATTTTAATTTTTATAAAAAGGATTTACAAAAATAAACTTGTCGTTTCAAATCTGAGCCATGATGTGCCCTGATTTGTATTACATGTCATGAGTCATGAACATGGTAAAACTTTCCTCTTTCAAGAAGAATCTCCATTAACTAGGTCTCTGTTTAGGATCTAAACTAAGAGTAATACTTTTAGAATTTGAATTTCATAAATGGAAGAACAAGCCTCTACCCGAAGGCCCATAGTTCATCATATCGTGGTTTCGATTTTAGCTTTAATATAGATATTGTTTGTCCGACACCAGTTTTATTTCCTTAATAACTGCGAAAACCTAATAGTGTGTTAAATTATTAAAAAATAAATAAGAGAACATAATAAAAATAGTAAAAAGATCAGTAAAATTGATAAGTAATATAATTTGTATGAATCATTAAATATAAATAGAATAATAATGAAGGTAAGAGTTCTTATTTTCATATCGGTATAAATTGTCATCATTAATTTCAGACTACGACTTCTAAGATAAAGTCTCATTGTTGCAAATTCAAATTGTGTTTGTGAGAGATAAAATATGACAAATAAGATGTTATTGCGTAGATCTCGAAAAATTATGTGGAATAAAAAAAATTACCTGATTCGGATACCCGATTCAAAACTTATGGCCTTCAGAAGTTTTACGATTAAATTATTAATTTTTTTTTGAAAAAAATGTGACACGTGTCGACACTTGATGAGTGACGCTTAAATTAAGCGTGATTGGTAACGCCTAAATTGAGCATAATGTTGTGCAATAAATATATAATTATTTCTAAAACAGTCATAAATTCATAATTGTTTATTTAAAATACAATATATCAATATTTTTCCCACCAAAAATAAACATTCCTAAAATAGCTTATTACAAATCAATCAACAAAAAAGAAAAATTGAAAATTTTTTTTATTACAAATCAATCAATAACAAATATACTGAAATAATGAAGGAATTGAAATCAAATTAATTTTAATTTTTATAAAAAAGATTTACAAAAATAAACTTGACGTCTCAAATCTGAGCCATGATGTGCCCTGATTTGTATTACATGTCATGAGTCATGAACATGGTAAAACTTTCCTCTTTCAAGAAGAATCTCCATTATCTAGGTCTCTGTTTAGAATCTAAACTAAGAATAATATTTTTAGAATTTGAATTTCATAAATGGAAGAACAAGCCTCTACCCGAAGGCCCATAATTCATCATATCGTGGTTTCGATTTTAGCTTTAATATAGATATTGTTTGTCCGACATCAGTTTTATTTCCTTAATAACTGCGAAATTTTGGATTGCTTTCAATCAACACCGAAAAGATTGGTATTTGGTTTATCTTTTGTATTATTTAGTAGTATAGCTTGATAGGAAGATGTGAAATTACCCTAACAAAGTCGCAGCAATGTCTCTGGGTATGTCAAGTACTGCTCTGAGCCTTGTCTTTGGGTGTCTTCTGTTGGTTCTGGTTGCACCGCTTTACTATTTCTTATGGTGGAACAAGAGAAAAGCAAAAGCAAGTTTAGTTATTGAAAAGGGTCCTGCTAAGAATGCAAAGGGGCTATTTTATTGGCGGTGCTGGACACATTGTTCCATGCATTGTACCAACATTCCAAGGAGTGTGACCAAAGACCCAGAAACCACAATTCATGAGACAGAAACAACAAGTGATGATGCAGAACTGGAGTTGAGTGCTGACAATATTTCTCAGCCGAAGTCCTTTGGTGAAGAAAGTGTGGAGTTAGAGTTGATGAGGCTGCACAACCTCGCTGGTCCACCAAGGTTTCTCTTCACAATCATTGAGGAAAACAAAGAAGATTTGGAGTCTGAAGATGGAAAATCTAAGGGTGATAGCATCAGAAAGGGTTCAAAAGCAAGTAGCTTGAGTGATGTTATGTCAGCAATTGATACCCCTTTCTATACCCCTGTGACTTCCTCCTCGCCCTCCAAGGGTCCTTTGGACTCTCTTGATTCTTATCAGCATCAAGGATTTAATCCTCTCTTTGAATTATCAGAAGAATCAGAGTTGAACAGGTTTAGATCTTCACCACCTCCGAAATTGAAGTTCCTGAGGGATGCAGAGGAGAGATTTCATTGGAAGTTGATTGAAGAGGCTAGGAGAAAAGCACTTGAGAATCATAGTGATGGGTCCTTTCTTAGGATCATTCAGAATGAAGACACAGAGCGCAAACAACTTCAACAATATCTACCACAGATTCCTTCAAGTTCATCTCAGGTTCTCCCATTAACTTCTTCTCCTACAACATTCAAACCACTTGAAAACGCATCCATGGTGCATTAGATTTTCTTGCAACTAGAACTCTTTTATTATTATTAGTTTATTATTCATATTTATGTTAAATTGATTTTTCCAATTGGCTCCTCTGCAAATTTTTAATTTTTAAAAGAGTTCTTTTTTTATTTAATTTTTTGACCTCTATTAATGGGCTTTGGAATGATTGCTGTGGTCATGCTGCAAATTTCATGCTTTTCAAATGGTTAAGGTGCTTGTTATCGGGCAAACGACATAGTGGGGCATTGTGTTTTTGTCCAATCTTTTCCCTGTTAATCATTCATGTAAATGATGCTTGTTTGCTACCAATTATGTTTAATTTAAAGGCCCTAATGACTTATTGTTTTCTTTTGGAAATTTCCAGAGTCATTTCCCGTACTATAATTCGCTTTGCCATCCTAGTATACGCAGGCTGGTCATATGCGCTTAGCTGTATCTTTTATTTTCCATATGCTTAATTCACATCACAATTAGCTACTAAGGTTTGTTTGGTGTGACGTATAAGGCATGATAGTATAAGCTTATACGATACGTTATGACATTTTCAGTTGTTTGGTGTGACCATCGTATAGTATAAGCTTATACAGCATAATCCCTTAATACATCAAAACGATGTATAACTTAATCCGGCCTAAGGGTGAGGAATAAGGCCTGATGAGAGATTGATGTATTAACATCGTTGACCAATGTAATTCTAAAAAAATAATATATTATTTTAATATTAATCTATTAAAATAAAAATTTATTTTTCAATATATTTATTTTTAAAATATTGAATATTTTTATTTTTATAACTATTAATTTATATTTTGGACACACTGATCAATAAAATTTTATAAAAATTAATATCATATGACATTTTTTGAAGAATTATATAAATTATTTATTAAAGGATAGTATTAAAATGCATTACCAAATATTAGATGATATTATCTTATACAATATATTATTATATACAATACCGTGCCAAACGCTGGATAGTATTAAAATTCAATCAGGTCTTATACAATCAGGCCTTATACTATCAGGTCTTATACTATCAGGCCTTATCCTATACTATGCACCAAACATGCCCTAATTCGCAATAGTGGCCGCCTAAATTCTATAGTCCAGGCCCAATATGACGAGCCCAATATGATGAGCCCAAACTTAAGGATTTACCAAAGACATCTCCAAAAGAGGCGGTTAACACCTCCCCAAGGACGCCATCCCCATTTTTCATGCACAAGTAGTCATTGTACATTAACAATGAATACAATGCGTCTTGTCCAAGTAAGATCAGGCTACGATGATGTAACTTGTTCCATCCTTCTTTACTTTCTCTTCGCAAAGAAAATCAAACCCCACCTATAAATACCCCTTCTCACTCAGTGAGAGGATGACACTGTTTTATTATTTCTATGAACTATTACACTTTTCATTTAAAGAACCACCATAGTCACTAGTCACCTTTACCATTGTTACACAGCACGTGAAAAACTTCCTAACTAAACATATCCCTAGATAAAGATACTACACCCCTTGTGAGATACAATTCTCTTGACCAAAAGGTTAACATGTAAACATAAGAGATTTTGTAAGGTAGATTTTAGATGTAGAGTTGTGAACTTGTAGTGATAATTGAATTTGCCTACCTCTCAATAGAAGACTGAAAAGTCAACACTTCGTGCTAATGCAATTAGCAAATTGGGATACGCATAATGAGTTTGGAATCACTTGTACAAAGGTTTTGTTGAAGAATTACACTCTCTTTTTTTGGATTTCAGGAAAACATAAAACAACTACATAGGAACCATTCTGGGGGTTGATACCCCCCTTTGGTCACTTAACAACAGGTTTGTACACTCCATAGGAGGCATAACAAGAATTTCCACGTCCCAAGCGTGTTCTGTAGATGTAGAAGCCATCCAATCAGCTAGAGCGTTTCCTTCTCTGAAGGTGTGAGAAACATGGGTCATCCAATCCTTCCTTAGCATGCCTTGGATTCTATTAGCTAGGGGTGAAAAAGTTTGATTCCTGGAGCATCCGTTTCTGATGAGGTCTATAGCAACCATAGAATCACTTTCAAGCTAGACCTTCATGAATCCATATTCCCAAGCAACTTCAAGGCCTAACATGATACCCTTCAACTCAACAAGAAGGGCGTTCCCGTGGCCGGTTCTTTTCCTAAACCCCACTATCCAGTTTCCTCCAGAGTCGTAAAGAACTCCACCGCATGAGGTCCTCTCACCCCTACAAGAGCAGCTGCCATCTGTGTTCACTTTTATCCAACCAGGCTGGGGGAACTTCCAAGTAATGAAAGTTTTCGTTCTGATTAAAAGAGTAATATGCGCTTTAGTTAGCAATCTATCTGGCAGGAGAATGATGTCTACTAAAGCATTGGTGAGGAAAAAGGTTTTTAGAGGGTTAGGGGCTATCCCATTGAAGATGAAACTATTGCGGTCTTTCTAGATACTCCAGCAAGTGACTCCAAACCAAAGTTTGCTGTCATCCGTCGTGAATACGTTGATATTCTTGAAAACATGCTTCTCCAACCAAACATCGAGGGGGAGACTAAAAAAACCAGGTTGAAGGGGACAATCTTCTTCCAAACTTTCCTAGCCCAAACGCAGTCCCTTAGAACGTGGATTATGTCTTCCAAGGGCTGACCACATCTCGGACATGAAGGCGATTCACACATCCTCCTGCGAGCCCTCTGGTCATTAGTAAAAAGTTTGTCTTGGAGGAGGAGCCATAGGAACGTTTGAATCTTCTGGGGCCCAAGCCATTTCCACGCAAGGTTCCAGGACTTAAAGAACGGTTGATAGAAGGAAGAATTATTGAGGTAGGCAGATTTTACAGAGAACCTGCCATCATTCGAGTCTCTCCATATCACTCTGTCTGAACTCCTTAGTCCTCTGACCGTTCCAGAACAAATTCATGGACGAAGAGTTAATACATCTATCAATATGGCGAATGAGGTTATCAGGAAGCCCAATTTCAATCAGAGTGTCATCGATAAAGGACCATTCCAATTTTTCGTAGGCTTTGGCTAGATCGAGCTTCAGGGCCATCCATTCTTTCTTGCCTTTCTTCGTCTTCATCGAATGAATGACTTCCTGGGCTACAATGACATTGTCATTCCCGTTCCTTCCAGCAACAAAACTGCACAGGTTGGGGGATAGCCACTTGTGCATGTGTTGCTTCAAGCGGTTTACAATCAGCTTCATGATGATTTTATAGGACACGTTGCACAAACTGATGGGCCGCATTTAGTTTAGACTATCCGAGTTCTCAACTTTAGGAATCAAAACAACAAGGGTTTGATTAATCTTCTCCACTCTATCTGGTTCAGAGAACGTATCTGTAATGAGAGAACATATTGACTGATTGATGTGGCGCCATTGGGATTGATAGAAAACCGCCAGAAGCCCGTCCGGACCTGGCGCCTTGAACTTCCCCATAGAGAAGATAGTGTTTCTGATTTCCTCTTGGGTGGGTATAAGACTCAGGATACGACGCTCGTCCATGTTGGGCTGGTAAAAATCTCCCCTGATGGGGAAGTCGTCAAGGATACTATCCTCGGAGGAATACAACAAAGATAAGTAATTCACAGCATAGTCTATGGTGATCTGGGGATCCGAGAGCCAATTCTCATCATTTTTAATAGTTGTAATTCTGGTCCTTCTTCTCTTAGCTATCGTGTTAGCATGATAATATTTTGTATTTTTGTCTCCAAATTTGATCCACTCGCACCGTGATCTCTGAAACCACTCAATCTCCTCTTGAATCAGGATTCTCTCTAGATCATTCCATAGAGAGTTTTGCTGCCGCTGTTTGGCTTTAAAGGTGTGATTATGCCAAGCCACCACCTCTTGTTGAAAATAGTCTCTGGCCTCTATCCAACTGGTGGATTGGTTCCAGCACTGACAACAATACCTTCGAAGCTATCATCAGTTAGCCAAGAGGCCAAAAACTTAAACGATTTACTCTCATCCTGGTTAATAATGCTTGGGTTCCCAAGAAGGATGGGACGATGGTCTGAGGAGTAGTAAGGAAGATGGACAACTTCCCTATCCGGCCAGGTGACATTCCACCTCTCATTCACAGAGACTCTATCGAGTCTTTCTTGCAGATTATTCCTCTTCCAGGTGAATTTAGGACCCTTGAATCCCAAATCATTGATGTAGCAGGACTCCAAACACTGTTTGAAAGCATTCACACTATTCCAACAGAACTCTCCTCCTCCATACTTCTCATTCGGCAGGTGCATGTCATTGAAGTCACCAAGGACCATCCATGCGTCAGAAGAGATAGTAGAAGCGATGCTGCAAAGATCATCCCACAAGACTTGTGTTTCCAGCCTATGTGGGTTCGCATAAACGAACGTAACTGTCTCCTCCACAGTGGAGGCCTTGTGCTTCGCTTTGACATGCACCAGTTGGTGCTGGGAATGAAGAACCTGGATAGAAGTGCCAACCTCATCCCGCAGGAGCCATATGCCCCCAGAAAATCCCACTGCATCTTGACGAAAGTGGTTACTGAACCCTAGTTGCTTAATTCTAGTCTCAACTTTGACTTCACTGATTTTCGTTTCCAAAAGTACCATTACCTTAATCTTGAACCTGTGCTTAAGATCATGGATTAGTGCAACAAAGCCTTTTTTATTAACCCCTCTACTGTTCTATATGCAAAAATTCATAAAAAAACAATAAACAAAGACACAGAGCAAAAAGGATTTTGGACAATCCACAAACCATTAATTAATTTGAGAGGTTGACCCTCACCCCTTTAGGGTTTTGTCCAAAATTTGGCTATCCTGCTCATAGGTCATTGACTTCATTAAATTAAGAATTTCATTTTCCTTCTCAGCCATGGTAGCATTTTCGGTTGGAGCAGGTGATGTCTTTTTCTCCGCAGCAGAGATTAAGGTTAGAGGCAATCCAAATTCCCCCACAAAAGGTTTCCTGTCTGCTTGGTTGTTGTGTATGCTCCCTGCTACTTGTGGAGAGGCATATGGCTTTTGCATCTTCCTAGGTAGCTTGTGTTTGACTTTAGGTCCTACACCTCCCAAGGTGGATTTACTTTTTACGGTGTTGCTAGTAGAGGGTGTCTGAATGATCTGACTTGCTAAAGTGCCCTCTGCTTTATTCTCAAAGGAAGTGGTAATGGGAGGAAAAGCAGCCGACTTCAGTTGAGGAACAGGTATCACAGGCTGCTGCTTTCAACAGGTTGCACCAATTTGGCTAATATTGATACCTGGGGTTCTCTGGTCCCTCCATCTTGCTTCCTCGATTGAGAGTCCTTGCCTCGATGGTTGGGTCCTTTCCTCAATAGCGTCGCCGGAGCTGGGTGGGCTTTGCCATCAGTTAGGTCTTCAGGGACAGCTTTCAATCGTCTGGATTTTGCTATTTTCTTAATCACCATCCATTTACCAAAGGCGTTGGAATCCTCCTTCTCATTATTGATGGTTTGGGGTGGACTGGGATTCAGGTTAGCCTCAGTTCTAGGTTTCTCCTTCAAAGGTTTCTCGTGAAAAGGTTGTGAACTTGTGGCAGAATGCATGCATTGTTCCTTGCGGTGGCTATACATGCCACAACCGAAGCAAATCAAGTGCAATCCTTCATAGCCAACATGGAAGACTCTATTGCCTATCTTGAACTTTGATAAAAAGCTCCTTCTCATATCGGCTTCCACGCAAACACGCGCAAAACGCGCTTTGTCCGTAATCTCACCTTCTCCTATCTTATTTTTCCTGAGAGCTTCTGTCGATCTTCAGAGTCCTTCCAAAGAGGTTCCCAATTTTCCATAGATGTTGGCTAGAGTATAGCTCTATGGGGAGTCCAGGAATTCTTAGCCAAATAGCAAGTTTCCTCACCTCTTCATCGTAAGGATCAAACAAGGGTCTCCAACGTTGGACTATTAGGTAGTGTTGCGTGACTACCCAAGGGCCATTTTGGAGTACGTGGAGATAGTCCTTTTCTTCCTTGAAGCGAATTAGAAGATGACCATTATCAAACCCTATTAGCTCGTAGGAGCTCACCAAGTTCCATAACTTTTCAAGTTTCAACATGAGAAACTTCGCACTGATTTTCCTTCCTAAGAGTTTTATAATGATGGCCTTTTTCCATTGTTCACAATCAGCTTTGTGCTGGGACTTAGAGAAGGTGTAAGTTGGCCAAAACGGATCATCTTCTTCCTCAGCTTGAAGAATTACACTCTTTTCCTACTCTCGTAATCCAAAAAATAAAATAATATTTTTCCTACAACTTTTTTGAATATTTTGCTTCAAAAAGTTGCAGAGTTTTCTTCTATCACTTTTTTAAATTTCATTTTTTTGACTAATCCTAAAGGGTGGCACACTTCATAGCGGAGTGTAACTCAATAATTGAGTTGCAAATGGTGATTTAGTGGGATAGTTCTTGGCAGGGGTATTCAAAATATCCAAAAGAATCAATTCAATTCATAACCAAACTATTTCATATTTTAAAAATCCATTATTTTTAAAAATCGATTTCATATGAAACTGTATTTTATTTTATAAACTGGTTATTTACAAAACCATAAAAATAATTGGTTATCCACAACCAAACTGCTCTACACTTAAAGAACAAATAAGTAAATCCGTTTTGGCTAACATGTTTATGTAATGATAGAATACTTGGGCCACATGTGCTTATCAATGGCTCTTTTTCTATAAAACTCTAATTTTCTTCAACATGTTTGTATTTTTCTTTTTTGGTGAGTCATCATTTGTGTCTTCTAAATAAGGTGAATTCATAATCTTGCCAATGATAGAATTAAAGCTGTTGTCAAGTGAACTGTTTCTCACTACAAATTTTCCATTGTTTCCTGCAGAAATCATAGATGCAGCTGCTTCAGCTGCCTTTCTCCACTGATATGAAGCCACACCCACGCCACTCTTTGCAGTGCCATACATAGCTCTCATACCTTTCTCCATCAGTTCAAATAAAACTCTTAGTAATATAAATCTTGAGAGAACGAAGAACAACTTTTTTTTTTATAATTTAAAATAATTCAACTGTTCTTCTAGCAATCACTCTCAAAACAACGTGAATCAATTTTTATAAGAATCATTTCGTTCGGAGTTCCAAAACAATAAAAATTCTTACAAGAAATAGTTGGTCAACTACATATAACCCGGAGAAACAAACGACTACTTATAAAATAGCACAATTAATCAAAAACCGATTTTGAATTTGTTATAAAATCGATTTTGAACTTGATAACCGGTTTATAGTTCATAACCAATTTTAAATCAAAATCGGTTATGAACCATAAACCGGTTTTGAAACCGATTTGGAAAATTCAAAACCGATTTAAAAAAAAAAATCTGGTTCGGTTTGAAAATCAAACCGTTTAAAATATATTCGGTTCAATTTTTGTTAAAACTGATTATTAACCGCTCCATGCACACCCCTAGTTCTTGAAATTAGAAAATAAAAATAAAAAATCAGTTTGACGAGGGTGATTGAGTGGGGATAGTTCTTGGAATTAGAAAAAAAAATAAAAAATCAAATTAGACTATGTTGGAGAGCAAATGGTGAGCAGCATCCAATAGATTGTAGATCTTTAATAAGCGCCTCATGAAGGGACGAATTTAAAAACGGTGGGTGTCCTGAATGGGTTATAGCGTCAATGAACTTTTACCCAAACAAAGAAGTGATATCTTTGTTGTTATCACGTTCGGCCGAAAGTTCCCTCAAGTACCAGCTTCTCCTTTGAAGTTTAAAATGCAAATTTGCCAAACGAGTGGCTTACAACCTACAAGATAAAAAAAGAAAAGCTGCTCTTTGCTAAGAGAGTGCTAGCATAGCGTTCAGAGTTTGAGTGATTTAACAGAAAGAAATATGGTGGCTTTTAATTCGGGAATAACAATGGTCCCATTCTGTAATAGCTGGAAAATTGGAAATTCAGCACGGTTCCATGTGAAATCAGTCACACCCAGTGACGTGGTCCCGGGTATGAGTCAAGTTATTGGGTCCACACTATTAATTCTCTACAATCCAATTTGGTCATTTGGCTTCAATGAATCATAAAAAAACTCACTAACAAATATATTATACAAATTTTAAAAAGAATTGGGGCTATTTATTTATGTTTATTGTCATTTTCCGTTTCTTATTTCATTCCTTTACAAGTTGCAATCTTGTAGACGCGGATTTCAGATGTTTGATGTATGATGTAGACGAACAGATTATTAAACTGATATTTCTTTTTTGCTTAGAACCTTCTCCATTCGCTTTGGGATAATTAGTTTATATTTTATTATTATTCGTGATCATCGGCTTCACGTAGTGTATGGTTGCAAATAGGGGCAGTGTGATTGGGATGCGAGGTATGCATGACATGACAAAATTTAACATACACTTAGATGAATATCTTTTATAAAATTTTATTACAGCTCCAACCTAATTTAAGAATAATCTTATATGTATATATAGTATCATGTGTTATATTCTTAATGAAATATTGTCGTAAAATACGTATTGTTCTCTTGTATAATAAGACTGATAATTGATCGAGGCCTGTTTTGCTACTTCCATTGAAATAATAAACCTGCAATTAATTCTCCCCTAAACTTTTGTCCAACCAATTAAGTGCAACCCTTTTCTTAGGTTTATTCAAATAATTGAAAGAAGAAGTGTTATATTCAAAAAGAGGTTGTTTGATCCATCCGGAGTCATTAGACCTAAAACACTAATTTAGAAAACTATTTTCTATAGGGGGTGGCTAGTGGCGCCACCATCCTTCCATTATCTCCTTTTATTTTATTTTATTTTATTTTATTTTATTTTTTAACATAAAAAAATGACCAATCCAATTGCGTCACATGAAACAATCCGATATGTCATTCCTCTTTTTTATCTAAGAAAAGAAATATTCTCATTATCTTTTCTATAAAATATTCATATTCATTTCCTCACTCACTTTAAATATTAAATAATTTAAAATATTTATTAACACATAATAAAATTATTAACTATTATATTAATAATTATCAATCAATACTAATATTGATAATTAGTCATTAACGGAAATTATTAACTATTTTATATTTATTTCTACCCTTGTATGGTTATGATTTCCCATATATAATGCTTTCACTTTAAATTTGGGAAATCATGACCATACAAAGATGGAAATAAATATAACCGTTGGATCAACATAAGCGATCTAACGGTGAGATTGACTGGGTGTCACATGAGTGTAACATAACTTGGGTGTCACAATATCCTATCCCTTAATTAAATATGTATTCTTATAATTAATTAATGAATGAATTTTTTTAAAAATATTCCTATAATTTATTTTAAAAGGAATGATACTTAATGATTTAAAAAAGATTCCTATGATACTGGGTATAGTCTCACCCCAAATAAATATATTGTCCCTATCTGTGTACTCTAACCAATTTTCAAACCTAATCAGCAAGCTGGAGTTGTTACTCTTTATAAATTCCATAAAATGTTTCAAAAACAAAATCATTATTTATTTTAACCACTTTTTACTGTTAATTAATTCTTATCATAATAAAAAATAAAAAAGTAACAGATATTTTGGATTAGAATTACAAGCATACTGTGT